ATGAAAGATGGGATCCGGCTCCCTCTGAACATCAGCAGGACGTTTGCCATTGACACGGGAGGGAGCAGGGTGGGCTTGAGAAGGACGAAAGCAGATTTGGGGGAGTCATCAAGCAAAGCTGGGAACTTCCTGAGACCAAGAAAGAAACCCTGGCCTGATTCTCCAAAGCCTTGTACCTTGTGGAATCACTGATGCCCCAGATGAAAGATGGGATCCGGCTCCCTCTGAACATCAGCAGGACGTTTGCCATTGACACGGGAGGGAGCAGGGTGGGCTTGAGAAGGACGAAAGCAGATTTGGGGGAGTCATCAAGCAAAGCTGGGAACTTCCTGAGACCAAGAAAGAAACCCTGGCCTGATTCTCCAAAGCCTTGTACCTTGTGGAATCACTGATGCCCCAGGCACAGCGGTGTAAAATATCACCAGGTCAGACAAGAATTTTATAGCCACCTTGCACAGATGTGAGAGAGTACACCAGGCAGTGGAGAACAGGCCCCCAGCTCAGAAATCTATATTCTGATTGTGGCACATAACAACAATGCAGTTTGCTTTGCCTTTGTCAAAAACCTTTTGCACTCCCTGATGAACAGCAAGGGAACTACAACTAACCCACAACAAAACAAACTTTCTCCCCCAGAAGGAGAACCTGCTATCTCATATCTGAGTTCTACCCATTTTTGTTAATCCCCGAGGCATTTTTCTTTTACAGGCTAAGGGATTTAAGAAGGGAATTTCCCCACATTATGCCTAATTAGTGCACGGCCTGATTTTCAGTAGTGCTAAGTACACAACACTCCAGTTGAGTCAGTAAGGGCTATTCTCAGCTTCATACAGACAATGGTAGTGACTTCAGTGGGTGTTGATAAAGACAGATTTGACTCCTCATCTTTGGTTTCTCAACTGTAGCATCTTAGAGCCTTTAACAACATTTGCTACCAGATGTTTAAGTCATTTGAAGATTTTTATTATACACACTCTCCCAGACCCCTTCTCCTCACATCTTAGTTTTACTTTATATTGACTTCAATAAGAGATTAAGAAACATACATCTCCAGGTGGAGACTGATTTTTTTAAATATACAGCCATGCCTGAGGATCATAGAATCATAGAACTGGAAGAGACCTCAGAAGGTCATCAAGTCCAGCCCCCTGCTCTAGGCAGGACCAATTCCAAGTAAATCAACCCGGCCAGGGCTTTGTCAAGCCGAGACTTAAACACCTCTAGGGATGGAGACTCCACTACTTCCCTAGGTAACCCATTCCAGTGCTTCACCACCCTCCTAGTGAAATAGTTTTTCCTAATATCCAACCTGGACCTCTCCCACCACAACTTGAGACCATTGCTCCTTGTTCTGCCATCTGTCACTACTGAGAACAGCCTTTAGTTCTGCTCCCGTTGACCTCCTGCTGTGCGGATGGTGCCAAAATGCGAGTTAAGATGCTTTGATTCCAGCTACATAATTAACATAGCTGGAGTTGCATATCTGAAGTTGACTTTGCCCTTTACTGTAGACCATGCCTGAGGTGCCACAGAACTCTTTGCTGTATTCTCAGAAGAGCTCAGTTTTGACATAAGTGCTTTCACTGAAACCCATATGTCCTCCTTGCCTTGGCCATTTGGATACACCTGACATTACATGGATTTTAATCTCGCAATAACCCAGACCAAATAAGCTGGTGCTGCCATGAAAATGTAACCATTTATTGTCCATTTTTCTTTTTTTAAATTTTGGTTTGTTTTTCTGAGTGTTTTCCAGAGGCATCCTCTGCCTCCCAAAACCTAAATGTGTCATTCTTTGGGATATCAATTCCTGAAAAAACCTAACCCATTTCTATAAGAAATTCATCTCCTTACAGTTCCGAAGAAATAGCTATATAAATAGGAAAGTAAATACCTCCTATAAAAGGCCTACTCAACCAGAATAACAAGAATGCTTCAGTAGTGAGCCTTGAACGCGTTTAAAGTAAATGCAATTTCACATTCAAGATCTGAAAACCAACTCAAGGCTAATATTTTCAGGGGAAAAAACCCCTTTGATCTCTTTTTCTTTCTGGGGGGAGCCAATATCAACATGACTGATTTTGTGCTATATTCATGAGTCTTTATGTGGGTTAATAATGTTAAAGTTATTCCACTGCTTTTTCAAGCTTTTCTGGAATCGACTCCACGATGGAACAGGGACCCATTGAAGACTCCTGAATTTGCATAGCATGTGCAAGACATTTTGACTTATATTTGCATGGTGAGGGTTTACCTAGGCATATCAGATTAATTAGCTTTATTGTTAACATCACAGTGAATATGCATATTCATATCTTCATTTTAGATTTAGAAAATGAAAGGTTTAGTCCATGAGACATTCCCAGTAATAAAAGCTCAATCCTAAACCTACTGAAGTCAGAGGGCTTTGATTACAGCCCTCAATTTGGAATAGTCAGATTTAGCGATCAAAACCTTAAAACCATTCAAAGATTGTGCATTTTGAAGGTACTCAGGTTCTTATGCATTTGTAACTCTCCTGCTGGTAGCAGGTTACCTCCTTCATCCATTAGGGGCCGCACACCCTCTCTGATCACCTTCTTCTTGTTAACATGCCTGTAGAAACCTTTCTTATCCTTCACATCCTTAGCCAGTCGCAATTCCATTTGCACTTTCGCCTTCCTGATAGCCCCCCGGCATTCTCGAGCTATACCTTTAAACTCCTCCCTGGTCATTTGTCCAAGTTTCCACTCTTTGTAAGCTTCCTTTTTGTGCTTAAGTTCACCAAGGATTTCCCCTGTAAGCCAGCCTTCCTGATAACCCCCCGGCATTCTTGAGCTATACCTTTAAACTCCTCCCTGGTCATTTGTCCAAGTTTCCACTCTTTGTAAGCTTCCTTTTTGTGCTTAAGTTCACCAAGGATTTCCCCTGTAAGCCAGTCCGGTCTCCTACCATGTTTGCCTCTCTTGCTACCGTCGGGATGATTTCTTTCTGTGCCTTCAATAAGGCTTCTTTAAAATACTGTCAGCTGTCCCGGACTCCTTTCCCCTTCATGTTAACATCCCAGGGGATTCTGCCCATCAGATCTCGGAGGGAGTCAAAATCTGCTTTTTTGAAGTCCAAGGTGTGTACTTTACTACTCTCTTTTCTTTCTTTGGTCAGGATCCTGAAATCTACCATCTCATGATCACTGCTTCCCAGGTTGTCAGCCACCTCCACTTCCCCTATTGTGGATAACCACAATGGGATTTTTGGAGAGGACAATGCCACATTCCTTACTGATAGTCAAACGCTATGAAAAAGAGAGTGAAGATTATAAATATTTTGTTAAATCCAGCAGGAGGCTTGGCATGAATGGCAATGGAGCAAAAAGGCACATAAACCCTGGAGAGACCAAGACCACATCTTCCAGGTCCACTGAAAACACTCTTGTTTGCAGGGAAGTCAGCAGAGTGTGGGACAGGCAAGGGGTTTATATTGCTATTCAACATGCAGGAGACTTTTGTGATTCACTAGCCATGGTTCCACACATTCACGGGTCTCCTGTTCCAGTGAGAGGCAGGGGCTGGGATCTGCAGAGAACTCTGCAGCTGTCTGGAGCCATGGTGAGTTCCCCGTGGCTTCTGGCCCCCGCAATGAGTTCAGGAGCCACAGGGAGCTCACCAGAGGGGCTGGAAGTAGTGGCTCCCAGTATTCGCAAATGGTGAGGGTCTTCTGCATTCATAAGTGATCTGGAAAAAGGGGTAAATAGGGAGGCAACAAAATTTGCAGATGATACAAAACTCAGCACTGTTAAGTCCCAAGCAGACTGCAAAGTGTTATGAAGAAATAGCACAAAACTGCGAAACAAAATAGCAGATGAAATTCAATACTGATAAATGCAAAGTAATGCACAGTAGAAAACATAATCCCAATTATACATATAAAATAAGTCTAAATTAGCTGTTACCACTCAAAAAAGAGATCTTGGAGTCTGTGGATATTTCTCTGAAAACATCCACTCAATGTGCAATAGCAGTCAAAAAAGTGAACAGACTGTTAGGCATCATTAAGAAATGGATAAAGACAGAAAATATCATATTGCCTCTATATAAATCTATTACACCTATATTTTGAATATTGCATGTCGATGTGGTTGCCCCATCTCAAAGAAGTGATAGAGATGCAGCCGTGTTAGTCTGATCTAGCTGAAACAAAAGACAGGACTATGCAGCACTGTAAAGACAAATAAGATGGTTTATTAGGTGATGAGCTTTCGTGGGCCAGACCCACTTCCTCAGATCAATTTGTGGAAGAAAATTGGCACAACCATATATACCAAAGGGATACAATAAAAAAAAAGTGAACACATAAAATTGACAAATCAGATTTTAGAGCCTAATGTCTGTCAGGCTCTCTCACAGAGAGAAAACTGTTGCTTGCCATTTTAACTAGACTGACCATTCTCTCAATGACCTTAAAACATGCATACTGCTTCAAAGAGATTTTAACTCCAGACTTCAAAGAGAAGTCTCAGAACTGTCATTCATGCTTAAATTTGACACTTTACATATGGGTCTTAACAAAGATGCTAATTATCTCACCCATTATAAAGATAGCTTCCCCAATTATCACCCATAATGTCATTTTAGTGTCACAGACACTATTCTTCCCCCTCACTCCCCCCCTCTGTTCTAAAATCTGATTTGTCAATTTTATGTGTTCACTTTTTTTTGATTGTATCACTTTGGTATATATGGTCGTGCTAATTTTCTTCCACAAATTGATCTGAGGAAGTGGGTCTGGCCCACGAAAGCTCATCACCTAATAAACCATCTTGTTAGTCTTTAAAGTGCTGCATAGTCCTGTCTTTTGTTCCATCTCAAAAAAAATATATTGGAATTGGAAAAGGTTCAGAAAAAGGGCAACAAAAAATGATTAGGGGTATGAGACAACTTTCATATGAGGAGAGCGTAGTAAAATTAGGACTTTTGAAATTGTAAAAACGACTAAGCAGGCATATGATAGAAGTCTATAATATCATGACTGTAGAGAGAGTAAATAAATGTTATTTATACCTTCTCATAGCAAACTAGGTGACTCCAAGTGAAATAAATAGGCAGCAGTTGGAAACAAACAAAAGGAAATATTGTTTCATATAACTCAGTCAGCATGTGGAACTCTTTACCAGCAGATGTTGACACGGCCAAGACGATAATAGGGTTCAAAAAATAACTAATTAAATGCATGGAGGATAAGCCCAACAATGGCTATTAGCCAGGATGGCCAAGGATGATGTCTAGCTGTTTTTTTAGAAACTGGGAATAGGTGACAAAGGATGGATCACGTGACGATTACCTGTTCTATTCATTCCTTCTGGGGCACCTGGCATTGGCCATTGTGCGAAGACAGGATACTGAGCTAGATGGACCTTTGATGTAAGCCAATATAATCAATCTTAGATAAATGTCTTTTCTCAGTGGCCAGATCTTGCTCACAAAGGCTATGTCTACACTCACGGCTTCTTGCGCTAGAAATTTGCAAATGAGGCTAAGTGTGGAATATCGCCGAGCCTCATTTGCATACCTAATGAGTCACCATTTTTGCATAAGAGGCTCTTGCGCCTGAAGGAGCTGTCTACACTGCCCCTTCTTGCGCAAGAAAAACCCTCTTGTGCAATGCCATTATTCCTGAAAATAATTGGCATAACGGCATTGCTCGAGGGTTTTTCTTGCACAAGAAGGGGCAGTGTAGACAGCTCCTTCAGGCGGGGGTGCAAGAGCCTCTTATTCAAAAATGGCAGCTCATTGGGTATGCAAGTGAGATTCGGTAGCTAGAGAAAGAACATGTTAGTATTTAAGCTTAAGACCCTGAAACTGGATCCTTGAGGCAGGACTTTTGCAGAACTCTTCTGAATTGCAGGGTAGGGAGCCCTACCTTTGGGAACCCTAACTCCAAGCCAGCTACCCATAGGAATCCATGATTAGTAGGTATAAGCTAGGAGTGACTCAGCCTTCTCTAGTGCTGCCAGGGCCACTGGCCTCCCTGGTTGGGGGTTTGGCGAGGGATATTTTTGCTTTATGATGTCTCATGGTGGTTCTAGAGCAGGTGAGGCAGTATGTGCTATTCAGCTTCCAGGGTTTCTAAGTAATCTCCCTGGGCTTCGGAATCCCAGAAAAGCAATGCAGTCTAGACATAGCCTGAGCCTGCATTTTCATTCAAGCATGGAACTGTCAATACAAGTAAGCATATTAATTGTGACAGGATCAAAGCCTTGGCTGGTTTCCCCCTTTGTTTGGGTACATCACATGGCAATAGGAGGAAAAAGAACATGATTGTGAAACCCACAGAAGTTAACAGGGATACAGGGGCAGGATTTAAAAAGTAGTTCTAACTCATGTTTTGAAACGGATTAGATTTCATGCCAAATATATATATCATTAATGCCAGGAACTGCGGTTCGTTTAAAATCCCAAGGATAACAGACCAAAGACAGGAAAGTCAGGGAACTTGCACTTTACTCAGAAATTCAATTACACCTTCTTTAGTAAGGAACATGATCTCCCCAGTGTTTTGATTCCAAACTTCAAACTCAGGGGGATTAACAAAAGCTTTCTTCCCAGCTATTAGAACATATGGGTAACCAAGTCTGTTAGCATCCTTTAATCTTTTACCAATAGTCAAATGAGTCCTGTCATCCAGCACAACATCCCCTTTTATCTGAGGCACGGCTTCAACAATACTGTCATATAAATTATCCATTATTGCTGCACCTATCTCTTCCTTGCTGCCTTTCTTAGGGGGAATGAGGCAGACCTGGTAAGGTGCAATGAGGGTTGGCCAACGGATGCTGTCTTCTGTTGACAGCACCTCGATAGAAGCTGCCAGAATCCGAGTTATGCCCAAGCCATAGCAACCCATTTCTGTTAGAACAGGCTTATTTTCAGCAGTGTGGAAGATGACATTAAAAACAGACGAGTACTTGGTGCCCAGATAAAATGTATGCCCAACCTCAATCCCTTTGGTCTCAGCTAATTTTCCCTTGCAAGCTGGGCAGTCTGTCTGGCCAGGATTTATTTTTTCCACATTAGCTGAAAAACCACAGTTGGAACAGATCAACAGCCTGTCCTCTCCGACACCTGCAGGGAGCTGGAACTCATGGGACATACTACCCCCAATGCTGCCTGTATCTGCCTGCACTTTGACAAATTGGAACCCCAACCTGTTAAACAAGTTGCAGTAGGCCTCACACACCAGGCTGTAGGTCTGGTGAGCAGCTTCCTCGCAGGTGTCAAATGTGTACATATCCTTCATGTAGAATTCCCTGCTGCGCAGCAAGCCAAACCGGGGCTTGGGTTCATCTCGAAACTTCCGTGTTATCTGATACACTAGGAGTGGCAGTTGCTTGTAGGACAAGTTCCCTTGGGAGGCAATCAGGTCCGTGATGGTCTCTTCGTGCGTCGGTCCCAGGCAGTACTCTTTGCTGTGCCTGTCTGCAAATCCCACCTTCCACTGGTTCTCCAGAGCTCTGCAGAACTTAAACTGGGCATATTTAGCTTCTGTCCCCCAATAGCCTGCATTTCTTGGTCTATCACCTTGACAAGCTTCTCCATTGCTCGAACAGTGTAGGGCATGTAGCAGTAGCAGCCAGGGCCGGAGGGGTAAATTAACCCTGCTTGCATCATCAGCCTCTGACTCTTACACGTCAGCTCATCGGATCTGCTGTCCAGCCCCGCGCTGTCCTCCCGAAGATTCAGAGGCTGAAAGAGCTTGGACAGCACAAGGCCTGTTGCTCTGTGCGTGGGAGCCTGGTGACACCCGGGCCGGCGCTGCGGCTGGAGGGCGGG